CCCCGCCCTGGCCGCTACTGAAATAGCATTAACACTTGATGTAACCCCTTCCCCATTCCACAGCTTCCTGTTCCCTGTCCTTCATCTGTCCCCCTCTGCATCTGAAGTGAGCCGACAGACCTGCTCCCAGTATGCTCACACTGTGTGAGGGGACAGGTTGAGGTAGAACATGAGCATCAAAGGTCGTTCTTACACGCAGCCCGCCCTTCATCTCAGTCAGTTAGGCGTACAGATGGGCCTTCAGTACGTTTTGCTAATATGGAGTCTGTTTCATGAAACTCCTGTCCTGAATGATGTAGACTTAAGCTACTGAGGATGCCCAAATGTCACCCGAAGGCTTTGCATTCTAGACTGGCAGAAACTGGAACAAGGGGAGATTTTTCAGCGGTGGAGAAATGCGACTCAGACCTCTCTTTGGCCCTTTTTAGACTCTAAGGTCATTACTTAGTCTGAACTGAAGGGCCACATTTTTAAAACATATCTTGGCCAATTCCCAGGCATTTTATGTCTGCATTTGGTATTGCTGGTTTAAATCTTGAACTCGGGTTGGACTGGCTTGAGAGAGAGAGTTCCAGTCTCAGCATTGGCAAGGGAAGGAAAAGCAGAGGCAGAAGTTCTAAGTGAACCCATATACTGGGTAGTCTGTTCATTGTTCGTGATATACGTGGACGTAAGAAACTAGCCTCTTCCTAGAATAGTGATAACAAGCTTAGCACGCTTCCCAGAAGCTGGTTTGTTAAAACTTAAGGTCGTATTGGGAAAGCTCTCAAGGCTTTGTTATCATCAGTCTCAGTAGACCATGAAAAGGTGGTGTTTCTGTTGTACCCTTAATACTGACCAAGGATGACCATGAATATCGTACTAGGTTAGAGTCTGAGAGTCTTCCCAAGTTACAGGTAATGTTAGACTATGGTCACACTTACATACTGTTCACCTTGATTTTCACATTTTATAGTACCTTGTGCTGTTTACTTTTTTTCCCCTGTGGTTCCTTCTTATCCATTTGCTCTGATACACCCAAATTCTCAACACCAAAAATACAGGAGCTAAAAATCAGGCAAAAAGTGAAATTAGAGAATGGGAGGGAAGGTGGGGGTGGATTCTGGGATCTCCAGAAACCTACTTTTTTTTTTTTTAAGTTGTTTTGATTTTTTTGTTTTGTTTTGATTTTCATCCAGTGTTGATCCTGTCTGGGTAGAGAACAATCTCCCAAAATGCCTGTGTTTAGAGTGTGGACTCAGTTTCCGAGCCCTGCCCCGTCCCTCGCTCAGCCTTAGCCCAGTGACTTAACTTTCTGCTTCAGTTTCCTCCTGTGTCAGCTTCCTCAGAGTTTTTAGTTAATATGTTAAAGTTTTAGGACACAGTAAATCAGTGAGTGTTAGCTATTAACATCTATAGTATTTTTGTAATGAAGAGCTGCATGGATTTTGATATCCTCGAATTTGGCTGCAGCTGGACTGTGTTCAGCCGAGGCTCCCTCACTGCAGACAGCCAGGGACATGAGTGCGGCTGCCACCACCTCGGGCATAACCCCAGGGAAAGGAGCTGGCTGGCCGGGTAACTGGAACCTCTTCCCAAGAGACTTCATCCGGGACCCTGGAATTCCCCTCCCACAGCCCACCTGCCGTTTCTCAGTAAAATATCTACTTGAAATCAAGGGGAGGAGGGTGAGAAGTGTGTGGTGGGGACAGAGAGAGAATAGGACTTACCAAGACATATGACAAGAGGTATCAGTAAAAGCACAGGTAAGTGATGTGAAATGTGGTCTATCAGTAGCAGGTCATTTGCAGGTCATTGTTCAAGTGACCTTGTTCCAGGTTACAGCTGCAGCTTCTCACCTCCTCCCCCTTCACTCCTACCACCACCCCCACCCCACCCCTGCGTTCCACCCACAGCCCACAAGGCCAGCCTTCCAGACACTCCTTCCAGTCCCCGACTTTGAAAGTGGACGAGGTGCTGGTATTTACTGACCCAGGACTCTGCTTGCTTTCCAGCTGACCCTCTGGTGGGCAGCATTGCCACACAGTACATGACCAACAGAGCGGAGCACGACCGAATGGCCAGACAGTGGACCAAGCGGTATGCCACATAGGGGCCTGCTGCCTGCCGCCCCCGCCGGACCTGTGCAAGCACATTCACCAAGTGCATCAATAGCCCTGCCCACCCCTCCGGACCTCAGTTCTTATTTTCTTATTTTTATTAAGTTTTGAACCGTTTGTGATGGTATGTCATCCTCCCCCCCACTCCGTTCTCCCTCTTTCCCCTTCCTCCTTTTCCTTTGCTTTCCCTTCTCTCCCACCCCTGTTTTATTCCCTTTTTAATTTCTGTTAACTTGAAAGATTGGGGTTTGTTGTTTTTTCCCAGCTCAATGTGGATGGGACTTTTTTTTTCAATGCAAACAACGTTGGGTCTGTAATAGTAAGAGCGTTCTCACAAAGCTTTGTATTACTGTGTGGTTTTGTTTTTTGTTGTTCGTTTTATTTTGATTTTTTTTTCTTTTATGTGATCTTTGGAAAAACACGAATTCAGAATTATATCTCGTTTCTACTTAAATGTAGTGCTTAGGGTTAATTTTTTGTACTAAAGTCTTTATTGGTGGGTGCATGCTACTGGGAACAAGTTTTTGTACAAAAGCTTCAATCAGAATCACTGTGCATTACTGAGACTCTGTTTATCACTAGCCTTCTGTCCCCCACACAGAAGACTGTTGGATTGAACAAAATAATAAGTATTTTCATTTACTTAAAGTGCTTGTAAATTTCTTAGGGACCTGCCACTTTTGACTGTGGATCAGTTGATGTACACTTGTATTATTAAAGCACTCAATAAATCACTGTGGCTGATAAATGCACTTCTGGTAACCTGGCGTTTGCTTTGTATCCTGGTGACCAGCATAGCAGCATGGCTTGTCTAATTCAATTACAGACTCAAGTGTATTTTTCATCTCAGACCTCTAATATTTCTTTGTAATTGAGTCGCTTAGCATGTGGAATTTCTCCAGCTGTCAATAGCCTGATGATTTTACGGTTGTTTCGGACCACTATTATTTTACATATTGGCTGGGCATGACTTTCTCATAGATATCCTTTCTGTTAACAACCTTCCTGACACAACAATTAAAACATGGGACTCCAAAAATAGCCGTCTAATGAAGTGAAGTCTGAACTGATCATTGTGCTCGACCACTTTTGAACTGATTTCTCTTGAAATTGTTAGAGTGATTGAGTTTTGGTTTTGTTTTTTCTCCTCAATTTTAGTGAAAGAAGTAAACTCAACCGTATCAGTCAGTGTCAGCACATTCAGTGCCCAGGGTATGCACGTCTGGCTTTGACTTTCGGGCTATTTTAGGTGTGCAGCTATAGGAGGCAGAGGAAACGTGTGTGGTGCAGTTTGAAAAAAAACACGGACGTGCTGACGGATATTCAGGGTTCTTTGTGTTAGAAAGCATGTTGGAAACTCCTGCTTCCTCTAATTACGCTAACAAGCCCACCATGCAGGCTGGTCTCACATTAGGAACAGCATTATTGCTCAATAGTAAGATTTACAAAGCAAATCATTCACCTCTAAGTATTTCTGATTCAAATTTTCATATCTTTATCTGAAACATTTTAAATATCTAATTCAAAAAAGACTGTTTTGTTGTTTTTTAGTAGTTAAAAAGGAACCCTAAAGAAAATATGGTTTAATATTGAAAGTGTTACTTTTAAACCAGAGTACCTAGGGATATTTTTTTCTCCTTTTAATAACAACATTACTATTGATTTTATTTGAAAACATTTTCCAGCATACCAGAACACCTTATGGCCTCTATTGAAACTATTGAACTCTGTAGTTGTGACAGAGGAAACCACAGACAATATACCTGAATAGGCATAGCTGTGTTCCAATAAAACTTTATTTACCAAAACAGTCAGTAGCCATATTTGGCCTGTAAGTTGTAGTTTGCCAATGCCTGATGTAGACTGCCATAGACTGGGGGGAAAAGAGTCAGATAACTATGTGGTTAATATCTCTTTCTTCGAAATAAAATAAATTTAATTAATGTAATACAAGACTAATTTTAGAAAATTATCTAGACTGTTTTATTGCCTATAGACTTTCTCACCACAATGTCACACTGTTTTTGTTTGTTTGTTTTGTGTTTTGTTTTTGTTTTTGTTTTTTAGCTGAGCCATCCTGCCACCTGTTTGGCAGCTGTTGGCAGCTCACCTCAGGCCGGGATTCGAATTGGCGACCCTTTTGCTCAGAGCTCACCACAATGGTTTTTATACATACTTTAATACCTTAGATTTAACAATTCAACCCTAAAAGCATTGAACCATTTAATATAGTTTTATTAAGCTGACTTTTTTTCATTTTTTTACTGATTAAACCAGACTCAGGATATCAATACTGACTTAATCTAGATAATGTTTAAAGTCAGTTTGTCTTTCTTCTTTTAAAATATCAACTTCATTGGACACACACTTAAAGTGATATATCCAGTATATTACATCTACATTAATGTCTGGTTGTACTTAAGATCATTTAAAAATATGTATTATTTAGGAGCCAGAGATTCTAACAATCTAGTAGGAAATTCTGTCACAAATCTGTGTTGGCATTCTTGTGATCCATTTTTAGGTTTTATGCCAATTTGATTGTAAGAGCCTATAAAACTTCTCTCCCCGTCTTTGTGAACTCTGAATACTTAATGACAAACAAACCTCCCCTCAAAACATGGAAGCTAGAGAAACTCCAGCGAGACCAACAAACTCTCAATCAAGCCTGTTCAGTCTAAATTCCAGATAACAGTGTAATTTTACTTGAAATCTATAATCACGGCAGACAATACAATTCCAGTAAGTTTTCGAAAATAGTTGTGAAATAAGGCTTGGGAGAGTTCAGCACTCAGAAAGCTAAACAGTTTTGGGCCGGCCTAGTGGCGCGTTGGTTAAGAGCTCGCTTGGGACGCCAGAGGGCCCAGGTTCGGATCCCACATATGAGGGCCAGTGACACTGCCCTCTACAGCTAAGATGGTGAACAACAGCTCAACCTGGAGCTGGGCTGCCATGAGTCGCCTGTGACGGTGTAGGCTGCAGCCCCTGCTGCAGTGGGTTGCCATGGGCTACTGTGAGCAGCCAGCAGCCAGTGTGAGCGGCCAGCAGCCAGCGTGAGCGGCCAGCAGCCAGCGTGAGCGGCCAGCAGCCGCTGTGAGCAGCCTTCCAGAAGCCGGCGACTGATCTGCCTGGCCCGGGAAGAGCGCAAAGGTGGTGCCAACTTGGGCCAGTGAAGCAACGTCCTCCACAACTAGACTGAAGAACAAAAGGACAGCAACTTGTCTGTTCCCCTTTCCCCAATTCTCCAGCGCTGTTCCCATCCCCCAATTCCCCAATAAAAATCTTTAAAAAAAAAAAAAAAAGAAAGCTAAACAGTTTTGCTAATAATTACAGGAATGACACTTCTAGAATTTAGGGACGATTTTGTACCCTAATATTATTTAACTGTTGACCCAATTATTGCTAGGTATAGTATTTTGTAGCTTTGTTCAATAAAAGGTTGGCAGATCCTTGACTAAGGCAGGACCACTGGTCATTGAGAGAGTAATTTGAAATGATATTTATTGATCTTAAATATTTCAGAAAGTGGCCTTGATTTGTCATAAAACAGCAAATAAATAGAACATTCTTCATCTGTTTTTCTACAGGAATCCATTGAAGATCGCAAAGGCAGAATTAGTCTTTTCTTATTCCAGCATTAGAGAATAAACCTAAAAGTTGATCCTGGATTAATGGTTTGGGAATTAGGAAGAAAGGAAATATTTATTCAAAATGCACTGCATACCAGGCCATAAGTTACCTAATAAAACATTAGTCTAGCCCTTTAGGGTGCAGGTGGCTGCCATAATGTAAACATTCATACCCCCAAAAAAATTCATATGTTGAAATCCTAATCCCTAAAGTTATGGTGTTAGGAAACGTGGTCTTTGGGATGTGATTAGGTCATTAGTGCTCTTATAAGAGATCCCAAAGCGCTCCATAACCCACTTCCATCATATAAGGACACAGTGAGAGGTCATCAGTCTGCAGCCAAGAAGAGGGCCTTCCCCAGAACTCAACCATGCTGGCACCCTAATCTTGAACGCTCAGCTTCCAGAACTGTGAGAAATAAATTGCTATTGTATATAAGCCATCCAGTCTGTGGTATTCTGCTGTAGCAGCCTAAACAGACTTAATACAGTGGCCCTTGGTCATGCACAGCTAACAAGGTACCAGAGTGAGACTCTCATCCAAGTTCATGACACCAGAGCCCTTGCTATTTACTGCAAAACCACATACACCACACCTTTCTTCTAATGACAAGAGCACAGGGTAAAAATAGATTGGCATTATTCAGTCTCAAAGTCAAGGTGCTGTGCAACTTCTAGGTGGTAGGCATTTTGCCATATTCAATAAATGGGAAAAAATGTTGAAGAAGGTGTGGAACTGGCATTAGATGGGAGACCAACAAATACTTTTACTCTGCCGCATCACCATTTGCAGCCACGGAAAAACATGTCACTTGGAAGACCCCGAACTTCTCTGCATCTCAGTACTGCAATAAAAAGGGCTGTTCATTATTATCAGGCATGGCGATTTTTAAATATCTATATAATAATTTGTGCTTTAAAAAGAGATGGTTGTCACTAACACTGAAAACAGTTGAAATTGTACCAAAAACAACCCTACCAGAGGATCCTGACCTATCATGTATTTTATTTCAAGGTGGCTTTACGACCTGTCAAAATGTCCCTCCTGTAAGGGACTCTCTGATATGTGAGGTGGGACCTCAAGCCATATGGGCACACCCTATATCCTAAATTAGTCCTATAATTGTCCTCAGTAGGAGTTTGGAACAGGCCCAGTTGTATTCTGAACCACAGCGCTACATCACATCTGGAATCTCTCGGAGTTGACACCTTCACAGGGCTCAGGGCAGCGTGGCTGAGGACCTCCCATAGCCGCCATGCATGTCCTCACATTCGTGCTCCCCCTGGATTCTGACTGGTTCCTTGAGCCTGGAACATTCCTTCTCCACCAGGCACCTTTCACTCTCACGTTCCCCGTGAGCACTGGTCATGTGGGTGAGCATGACCAGCTTAGCCTAGTGTGGCCGGATCTTCCCGTGTTAAAGCCCCGTCTCCCAGGAACCCTCTCCGTCTGGAGCAAACCAAGGATGAGTACGTCATGCGAGCTTTTGTGCTATGACTACATTTCAGTGTGAGGCCTCAGGCATTACACAGGACAGTTTGGCCCATAGAAATGTTTTACTTGAACAGTGTTTCACTTGATGTACAGTTATCATTTTAGAAGATACATGCTGTCTACAATTTGAAGACATCCATCCACTTTCTATGGCTTTCACAGCCATGCGTCTTCACCCATTCCCTGGTTCTGGAGGCATCTGAGTGATTTAAACCAACTGCTTCCTTCCTTCACACCTTCAAGCATGACTTAAGGTCTGTATGCCTTCCTATGAATGAGCAGTCTTAAGCGTAATATGCTTTTTGAGAGGCTTTCTTAGAAGAGAAATTTCTGAATTTTAAAAATCTCATGTCTGGGACCCACCCAGGGAACTGGAGGAGATACTGTAATCACCTGCCTGTCTTACCTGTTTATATATCCACATAGGCAAAGGTCAGGGCAACCCCAACTACTGTGCAACTCCCAGTGTCAGGGTTTGCAGTTTTAAGGTTACAGAAAAAACCTGACCCAATAACCTTGGCATCTTGTGGAGCTGGCTTGTAACCCTTAAGTCCACACTCATGTCATCCCCTCCTCCCATGCATGTTGCCCTCTCATCCATCTTTTTAAAAATCACATGGGAGGTCAG